ACCACTATACATGTATCTAGCAGTGGCTGACCTAGCAGTAAGCTCCGTTTTGCTGAAGGAGGTGGAGGGTGTTCAGCGGCCTATATACTTCGTCAGCAAGGCGCTGAACGGCCCGGAGACAAAGTACACACTGATGGAGAAGATGATCCTAGCATTGATCGCGGCAATAAAGCGTTTGGTGCCATACTTCCAGGCACACCCGGTGACGGTGTTCACCACTCAACCCTTGGCCACTATCCTCAGGAATCCAATGGCGAGTGGGCGGATTACGAAGTGGTCCTTGATGATCGGGCAGTACAACGTGGAATTCAAACCAAGGCCGACGATCAAGGGACAGGCACTGGCAGATTTCATTGCCGAATGCACAGCACGAACGGAGGAAGGGGAATACGGTAGCAGTGACCTAGACAACTGGTGGGAAATGTACACCGATGGGGCAGCAAGTGCAAAGGGATGCGGGGGGGTGCGGTCATCACTTCCCCTGAGGGATTCAAGGCTTATTACTCCATGGAGTTCAAGTCCAAAGTTACCAACAACGAGGCCGAGTATGAGGTTCTGATCGCAGGATTGAGATATGCGAGGGCCCTCGGAGTGGCTCGTCTGAAGGTCCGGATGGATAGCCAGTTGGTGGTTACACAGATGAATGGTACTGCTGAGACTCGGGAGGAACGGATGAAGGCCTACAGGGAACTGGCAGAGGAGCAGACTGCGCAGTTCGAGCAAGTGATCATAGACCTGGTACCTCGGGTAGAGAATGTCGAAGCTGATATCCTATCCAAGCTAGGCAATCCCCTGCCCGGGGAACAGACGCCGGCCATCCCAATGTTGGGTTTCGGGCAGAAAAATGCAGCGGAATAAACAACAAAATACTGCCCAAAAGTAAACAACCGGATCTGAGGTTCTTACTATAAACGAAATTACAAGATATAAGAGGGACTTACATAGCAATCTTAATCAAGGATGTCAGACAGTCCGAGAAAACAATCCCGAGCTCTACCGGTATCCACACGCACGTGATTGGATCGGCTGCAGGGAACGTGCTAGCGTTCTCTTCTTTCTTCCTCTCTACTCTAGGTTTTAGAAGTGAATTTTAACTCTTAAAATTCGTGGGTCTATATAGCCCTATTTATAAGAGGAGGAAAGAAGGAGTTTTATAGCTAATAAAACCCTCCAAGAGGCCCTAGCCCAATACCATTTGAAACCCTATTTCGGATTGGGCTAATCAGGCTATTATAATGTTATTAACGAACATTAATGATCCAAATCACTTAGGTGTGTGACCATGTAGGTTTATATATTATTGGCAGTGGGCTAAAAAATTAATTCAAGCCTCACAAATCATAAGCGGCCTCTAGCAAGGCATTATGACTATCCAAAATATATAAATGTCAATTAAATCTGACATAACCTTTTAATGATTAATTTGTGCTAATAATTCTCTTTTGTCAAACGATATCTTAATTGAGACAAGGTTAGGTCATGTCATCCTTGTTATTCTCAATTAATATTTCTTGATGACCAAGTAAGATTAATTTTGAACAAATGACACCTCATTTGAGCATGGCCATGCTAATTAATCTTACTTGTCAAGGGGGCCAATAGATATCTTTCTCTCGCTATACGAGAGTGACAAAAACTATCTTGATAATTCACATACCACTACATGGTTCATAATATGTACAATCACCACCTTTATAATTACCTATTTAAAATAATATTTAATGGTGTTAATACATATTAATTCGCATGCAAGTAACCATGATTATCTCAAGTATAAGAATATAGCACCTCATCATTATTGAGGACAACACTGATGACATATAACCTAGCAGTGTCCTCAAGTTGGGTCTGTCCAATGAACTTGTTCACTAACAAGCATCTATGTTATTAACTTGATATCTCTATACCCATGACTAGTGGAATATAGCCATCAGTTAATCTACATAATGGTCTATTAATTATTAATGTCCCAGATTAATAATATTAGACCATGGACAATTAGAATATTATGCTGATTTAAAGTGTAGCATTCCAAAATTAAGTCACGTACTTAATTAGCTACTAAACATAATATTCAGGGACTAAATATTAATAAAGAAAACTCACAATAATAATTAACATAAAATGAGTTTGTGACAATATTAATTAATGAGCATTAAATATTCATTGATAAATCATAAAGTATGATTGTCCTAGGGCATACTTCCAACAGTCTCCCACTTGCACTAGGACCAATCGTGAACAAAACGAATGCCTAATGTACTAGTATGACGTTCATGCTTTGCTTGTGGTAGTGGCTTGGTGAGCGGGTAAGTCACATTTGCATCTGTTGGTACTTTGCATATCTTGACGTCACCTCTATTGACTATCTCTCGAATGAGATGATATCGCCTGAGTACATGCTTTGATTTCTGGTGTGATCTAGGTTCCTTGGCTTGTGCAATGGCTCCATTGTTATCACAATATAAGTCCATTGGTCCAACAACACTAGGAACCACACCGATCTCAATAATGAATTTCCTTATCCATACTGCTTCTTTTGCTGCTTCTGAAGCAGCAATGTACTCAACTTCTGTTGTAGAATCAGCCACCGTGTCTTGTTTGGAACTCTTCCAGCTCACTGCTCCGCCATTGAGGCAAAACACAAATCGTGACTGCGATCTAAAATCATCCTTATCGGATTGGAACCCAGCATCTGTGTAACCATTTACAATGAGCTGATCTTCACCGCCATAGACCAAGAATACATCCTAAGTTCTTCTCAAGTACTTTAGAATATTCTTGACCGCTATCCAGTGACTATCACCTGGATCTGACTGGTATCTACTAGTCATGCTTAGAGCGCAAGCTACATCAGGGCGAGTACATAACGTAGCATACATGATAGAACCTATAGCAGAAGCATAAGGGACTCTATTCATTCGATCTCTCTCATTTTGTGTTTTTGGACACTGAGTCTTGCTGAGATGTGTGCCATGTGACATAGGCAAGAACCCTCTCTTGGAATCTTGCATATTGAACCTATGTAGGACCTTGTCAATGTAGTTACTTTGACTTAGTCCTATTAGCTTTCTAGATCTATCTCTATAGATCTTGATCCCTAACACATAGGATGCATCACCCAAATCTTTCATTGAGAAACACTTTCCAAGCCAAGCCTTTACAGACGAAAGCATCGGAACATCATTCCCAGTGAGATGTATGTCATCTACATATAGGACTAGGAAAGTGATTGCACTTCCACTCAATTTTTTGTAAACACAAGGTTCCTCTTCATTTTGATTGAAACCAAACTCTTTGATTGCAGCATCAAAACGAAGATTCCAACTCCGAGATGCTTGCTTCAGACCATATATTGATCTTTTGAGCTTGCATACCTTCCCAGCATTGATTGGATGTTCAAAACCCTCAGGTTGTATCATATACACGTCCTCATCTAGATTTCCATTTAAGAAAGCAGTTTTGACATCCATTTGCCAAATCTCATAATCAAAATGAGCGGCAATTGCTAAGAGAATCCGAATTGATTTAAGCATGGCAACTGACGAGAATGTTTCATCATAGTCTATACCATGAATTTGTTTGTAACCTTTCTCCACTAAACGTGCTTTATAGACATCTACATTTCCATCTTTGTCTAATTTCTTTTTGTAGATCCATTTGCATCCAATGGTTCTACAACCATCAGGTAGATCAACTAAGTCCCAGACTTGATTGTCGACCATGGATTTCATTTCGGATTTCATGGCTTCTAGTCATTTATCGGAGTGAGGGCTCGATATTGCTTCTTGGTAGGTCAAAGGTTCATCTTCGTCTATTAATAATACGTCATGATGCTCAGTTAAGATAAACATGTATCTAACTGGCTCGTTACGTACCCTAGATGACCTCCTTGGAGCGACTGCTACCTCAGGTGTATCCACAACAACTTGTGGCTGAGATTGTGGGACTGCTTGCATAGTCTGACTATCTAGAACTTCTTGAATTTCTTCAAGCTGTATTTTACTCCCACTGGTTCTTTCAAAAAGAAATTCTCTTTCTAAGAAAATACCATTACGAGCAACAAACACTTTGTTCTCTGATGATTTGTAAAAGTAATATCCTTTTGTTTCCTTAGGATAATCCACAAATAAACAATTATCTGATTTGGGTTCAAGCTTATTTGAAAGTAAACGTTTTACATAAACTTGACACCCCCAAATCTTCACAAAGGTTAGACTAGGAACTTTCATGTCCATATCTCATATAGTGTCCTTTCTGTAGCCTTTGTTGGAGCCCTATTGAGTATGAATGCAGCGGTTTCAAGAGCATAACCCCATAAAGAGATTGGTAGTTCAGCGAGACTCATCATGGAACGAACCATGTCTAACAAGGTCTGATTTCTCCGTTCGGACACACCATTCCATTGTGGTGTACCTGGCGGAGTGAGTTGTGAAACAATTCCACAACCTCTTACATGATCACTAAATTCCTGACTCAAATATTCACCACCTCGATCTGATCGAATGGCCTTTATTGTTTTGCCAAGTTGATTCTGAACTTCATTCTGGAATTCTTTGAACTTTTCAAAAGCTTCATGTTTATGCTTCATTAGGTACACATAACCAAACCTACTAAAGTCATCAGTGAATGTTATGAAGTACTGAAAACCTCCCCTGGCCATTGTTGACATTGGGCCACATACATCCGAGTGTATGAGGTCCAATAAACTGTGAGCTCTTTCACCTTTACCAGTAAATGGTGACTTGGCCATTTTACCTAATAAACAAGATTCACACTCCTCGATTGATTCAAAATCAAAAGAGTCAAGAAATCCACTAGAATGGAGTCTTTTAATACGTTTCTCATTTATATGGCCTAGTCTACAATGCCAAAGGTATGTTGGGTTTGAGTCGTTAGATTTAAACCTTTTTGTATTTATGTGATAGATGGACATTTCAAGGTCTAGAACATAAAGTCCATTTATAAGACTAGCACTACCATAAAAGATCTCATTAAAATAAATAGAACAAGTGTTGTCCTTTATTATAAAATGAAATCCTTTCTTGTCCAAACAAGAAACAAAAATTATATTCCTACTAATGGCAGGTACATGATAACAATTATCAAGTTCTAAAACTAAGCCCGTGGGCAAACTTAAAGTAAATGTTCCTATTGCTAATGCTGCAACTTTTGCGCCGTTGCCTACTCGTAGGTCAACTTCACCTTTAGCCATCCTTCTACTCCTTGTCAGTCCCTGCACATTTGAACAAATGTGAGAACCACAACCGGTATCTAATACCCATGAAGTAGTAGTAGTAACATTTACTTCTATCACATAGATACCTGAATTGGAAGCATCACCATGCCCCTTTCTTTTCAGTTCTTCCAAATATGCCTTGCAATTTCACTTCCAATGACCGGTTTTGTTGCAGTGGAAACATTTTTGCTCTTCTTTAGAAGTAGAGCTGGCAACAGATTTGCCTTTACCCGAGTTCTTAACCAGAGTTTTGAATTTCTTGTTTCCACCAACCTTGCCTTTTCCAGGCTTCTTGAATCCCTTTCCCTTTTTGATCATCAAAACGTCACTCCGATTTTTCTTGATGTTTTACTCAGCGGAGTTGAGCATTCCATGCAATTCGGTTAAGGTCTTCGCAAGACCATGCATATTATAGTTCAGGATGAATTGGTCATATGCCGGGGTGAGTGATGCGAGAATCACACCAGTAGCTAACTCTTGACTAATTGGAGATCCAAGTCTTTCCAAGTGGTCCCTATACCCAATCATCTTGAGTATGTGAGGTCCAATTGGGCTCCCATCAGTAAGCCTTGTGTGAAACAAAGCCTTGGTTGTCTCGAACCTTTCGATCTGTGCTTGTTTCTGAAACAAGTTCTTGAGTTCATTAGAGATGTCATGTGCACGACGATTCAGAAACTGTTTCTGAAGATTAGCTTCCATGATGGTTAACATCAGACAAGTGACATCAACTTCATCACGGACATGCCTTTCATAAGTATCTCTAGTGGCTCTAGGAGCATTGGCCGCTGGTTCAGCAGGAATTGGTTGGTCAAGGACATATTCTTTACGCTTGTGCCTGAGAACAATTCTCAGATTCCTATCCCAGTCCATGTAATTTGTTCCATTAAGTTTTTCCTTCTTAAGGATTGATCGCAGTGAAAAAGTTGTGTTGGTGGCCATATTAACTACAACAAATAATGCAAAGAATTTTAAATAATGCTCAAAATAACTCCCACTATATTAAATAGAAAGTCCCAAATATAGTGGTCCAAGATCCAAATTTCACTAAAATTTAAGTAAGCTTTGGCTTATCACTTAAACATTAGTTATTTAGGTAAACAACTCTTGTTAATCATATCCTATATGACTCTTGGTTTGTTTGGTCACCATCATATGATTATCCAAACATTCCTTGCTTCAAGGCCCAAAACCATTTTGATGGCCTTGTAAGTCCAAACCAATATTAAGACCTGAGAATGACGATCATTCAAAACATCTTCCTAAGATAGTGTGAAATGCTCTGCTTTGGCAGACACATAACACGACTAGCATAGTATAAATGGTGGTCATATTGGGAAAGCAATTTAGACTTATAATTAATAGGGACTAATTATTAAACACATGCAGCAATCATAGATTTAAATAAATAATTTAAAACTAGTGTAGTGATATAGCATGACCCCTAATACTCCATATCTCCTTGGCATCTTCAACATGTGCAGTAGACTACTAAATATCTACGGGGTTGAAAATATTACAGGGGATATTCGGAATAACAACACGCAGGCCGTAAAACAACATAATATAAAACATACATTCGGATCATGCTATACCACCAATTCAATCTGTCCTGTGATGAAACAAAATAATTGTGCATGCACGGATTGAAAATTAAATTTTAAAATCCGCAAGTAATATGTAATTAATTTGGATCTCATCCGAAAAATAAACATACATATTAATGAATTCTAAAATAATTCGTATTATATATACACATGTGCAGATCATATCCGTAATATAGATCATTACACATATATAAATACGAATAAAATATAATGAACTTAAATTCGAATTTGGCAGAACAATTGATCAAATCATTCGAATTATAATATGGGAGATTTGTCACGGCTTTGCCTTGATTTGTGTAGAGCTCGTCTTCCCGTTTCCGAAAAGTACTTATAGGTCGGAAACGGATTAACGAGTCAAAAGTTACGGCCAAAACAAGATAGTCCGATCCACAAAAACAGCTCATTAGCCGGCGGTTGCCAAAATAATTCGGATCTCATCTGAAAAATTAGAAACCAAATCTCCTAAAACTAAAATAATATTCTGAACCAGATCTGATTAAAAAAAACTGAATTTTTGATATCCACTCAGATGTGTTCCGAATAATTAGGCTGTAGGATTTTATCCAATTCCTAATTCCATTCAGATCTGATCCGAAAAATAATAAATAATATCATAAAATATTCTTAACATAAATTATGAGTATCAATTCGGATCCAATTCAAATTATTGAACTTTCATGTCCATTCAGATCTCTTCCGAATAATTAGGCAGTAGGATTTTATCCAATCCCTAATTCCATTCAGATCTGATCCGAAAAATAATAAATAATATCATAAAATATTCTTAACATAAATTATGAGTATCAATTCGGATCCAATTCAAACTATTGAACTTTCATGTCCATTCAGATCTCTTCCGAATAATTAGGCTGTAGGATTTTATCCAATTCCTAATTCCATTCAGATCTGATCCGAAAAATAATAAATAATATCACAAAATATTCCAAATATAATTGTGAATATATATTGGATCAAATTCGAAATATTCGAATATCACATCCTTACCAGAAAATTCGGAATATAAATACACATAAATTCCGAAATTAATAAAAAAAACTAATTCCGAAATTAATAAAAATTAATTCCGAAAAATCCCAAAATAATCAAATTACTGATTATATATTAAATCAGGTAACCCGAATATAATAAAGAACCGTAGGCTCTGATACCACTGTTGGGTTTCAGGCAGAAAAATGCAGCGGAATAAACAAAAAAATACTGCCCAAAAGTAAACAACCGGATCTGAGGTTCTTACTTTAAACGAAATTACAAGATATAAGAGGGACTTACATAGCAATCTACATCAAGGATGTCAGACAGTCCGAGAAAACAATCCCGAGCTCTACCGGTATCCACACGCACGTGATTGGATCGGCCGCAAGGAACGTGCTAGCGTTCTCTTCTTTCTTCCTCTCTACTCTAGGTTTTAGAAGTGAATTTTAACTCTTAAAATTCGTGGGTCTATATAGCCCTATTTATAAGAGGAGGAAAGAAGGAGTTTTATAGCTAATAAAACCCTCCAAGAGGCCCTAGCTCAATACCATTTGAAACCCTATTTCGAATTGGGCTAATCAGGCTATTATAATGTTATTAACGAACATTAATGATCCAAATCACTTAGGTGTGTGACCCTGTAGGTTTATATATTATTGGCAGTGGGCTAAAAAATTAATTCAAGTCTCACAAATCATAAGCGGCCTCTAGCAAGGCATTATGACTATCCAAAATATATAAATGTCAATTAAATCTGACATAACCTTTTAATGATTAAGTTATGCTAATAATTCTCTTTTGTCAAACGATATCTTAATTGAGACAAGGTTTGGTCATGTCATCTTTGTTATTCTCAATTAATATTTCTTGATTACCAAGTAAGATTAATTTTGAACAAATGACACCTCATTTGAGCATGGCCATGCTAATTAATTTTACTTGTCAAGGGGCTCAATAGATATCTTTCTCTCGCTATACGAGAGTGACAAAAACTATCTTGATAATTCACATACCACTACATGGTTCATAATATGTACAATCACCACCTTTATAATTACCTATTTAAAATAATGTTTAATGGTGTTAATACATATTAATTCGCATGCAAGTAACCATGATTATCTCAAGTATAAGAATATAGCACCTCATCATTATTGAGGACAACACTGATGACATATAACCTAGCAGTGTCCTCAAGTTGGGTCTGTCCAATGAACTTGTTCACTAACAAGCATCTATGTTATTAACTTGATATTTCTATACCCATGACTAGTGGAATATAGCCATCAGTTAATCTACATAATGGTCTATTAATTATTAATGTCCCAGATTAATAATATTAAACCATGGACAATTAGAATATTATGCTGATTTAAAGTGTAGCATTCCAAAATTAAGTCACGTACTTAATTAGCTACTAAACATAATATTCAGGGACTAAATATTAATAAAGAAAACTCACAATAATAATTAACATAAAATGAGTTTGTGACAATATTAATTAATGAGCATTAAATATTCACTGATAAATCATAAAGTATGATTGTCCTAGGGCATACTTCCAACACCCACAACATATCCAAAATTTTGCAAGACAGGAGGCACTACTTCGACCGGCGACCGAAATTATCCAGGTAAATGTTGTTTCTTATGCAGATCCCAACTGGGTGAAGGAGGTGACAGATTATCTCAAGGATGGGACCCTCCCCCTCGAGAAAGATGGACGCACCTCCGGAAGGGCCCCGTGGATAAAGAGACGGGCGGCAAGCTTTGAGATCATCGGGGGTGAACTGTACAAAAAGACGTTCGACGAGCCATATCTCAGGTGCCTATCGCCGGACTTGGCAGCATCAGTCATGGAGGAAATCCACGAGGGCATCTGTTCCAGCCACCAAGGACCCCGAACGCTGGCAAGGAAGATCATCCTATAGGGGTACTACTGGCCAACCATCCAGTGGGACTGCTTCAACCACACCCAGAGGTGTGCGGTGTGCCAGCAGTACGCACCCATGCCGGGAAGACCGGCCAACTTCTATACCCCGATGACCGTCGCCCTACCATTTGCAAGGTGGGGGATAGACCTGCTGGGACCCTTCCCAGGACAACTGGCGGAATGAAATTCATAATAGTGGCCATTGACTATTTCACAAAGTGGGTGGAGGCCGAACCATTGAAGAACATCACTGAGTTCCAATGCCAACGTTTCGTATGGCAGAACGTATTATGCCAGTTCGGCATCCCGGAACAGATCATTACGGACAACGGTCGGCAGTTCGTCGGCAAGGGATTCGAGGCATATCTGGCCAAGTGGGGAATCCGGCATTCCAAGGCCTCAGTCGCGTACCCACAGGCAAACGGCCAGGTGGAGAATATGAACCGGACCATCATGGACGGCATAAAGAAAAAATTAGAGGATTACTCCTCAACCTGGCCGGAGCAGCTGAATTATGTCCTATGAACATACAGGACAACTCCAAGAACGGCGACCGGGGAAACACCGTTCGCACTAGCATACGGGTTTCAGGCCAAGGTCCCCACCGAGGTACTTGTGCCCATGCACCGGACTCTGCACTTTGACCCAAGACAGAACGAGGAAAATCTAAGGGCAGAATTGCACTTCATCGAGGAGAGAAGGGACCTAGCCGCACGGCGCATGGAGGAATATCATCGGGCAACCGAGAGGTATTTCAACAAGCCGGTGAAAATCAGAGAAATCAGGGTTGGAGACCTGGTGTTACGGAAGCGGGAGAAGAGCAAGTCGCTTGAAGGAGGCAAGATGGCCAAAAATTGGGAAGGGTCGTACAGGGTATACGAGAAGAGATTGGCGGCAGGGACGTTCCTCTTACAAATGATGGAAGGACGTTCCGCTGGCATATGGAATGTGGAGCACCTGAAGAAATTCTACCAGTAGGACCCCCCCTAAAAAAAGAAAAAAAAAAGAGAGAGAGAAAGAAAGGGGGAGAGACAAGAAGGAAGTATTTCGTTCATACGATGTAACAGCAGGAATTAATGAAAACAAAGAGGCTTGGACATTAGCCCAAAAAGTCCCGTGGTTTTTCCCTTTCCGGGTTTCCACGATAAAATCATGGTGTACATCGTCATCACAAAAACACTGCGAGCCTCCTGGAGGAAATCAACATCCCCCGCCAGGCGGTACTAATCATCCGAACGGTATAACCACTGTACCCAAGACCTCTCTAAAAATGAGAGAGGCACTGGGGAATCCCCAAAAGGGATAAACCCGTTCCGCATCACAATCGCGGCCGAGCCCAGCTCAGGATCCCAAGGACCGGGCCAAATGGGCAGGTAAGACGAACGGATGACGGGACGAATACCGGGGAATCCCCAAAGGGGATAAACCCGCTCCGCGTCACAATCGCGGCCGAGCCCAGCTCAGGATCCACAGGACCGGGCCAAATGGGCAGGTAAGACGAACGGACGACGGAGCAAAGCCAAAGACCTCTCCAAAAAAAATGAGAGAGGCACTGGGGAATCCCCAAAAGGGCTAAACCCGTTCCACATCACAATCGCGACCGAGCCCAGCTCAGGATCCCAAGGACCGAGCCAAATGGGCAGGTAAGACGAACGGATGACGGGACGAAGACCGGGGAATCCCCAAAAGGGGATAAACCCGCTCCGCGTCACAATCGCGGCCGAGCCTAGCTCAGGATCCACAGGACTGGGCCAAATGGGCAGGTAAGACGAACGGGCGACAGAGCAAAGCCAAAGACCTCTCCAAAAAATATGAGGGAGGCACCGGGGAATCCCCGAAAGGGATAAACCCGTTCCGCATCACAATCGCGGCCGAGCCTAGCTCAGGATACCAAGGTCCGGGCCAAATGGGCAGGTAAGATGAACGGATGACGGGACGAAGACCGGGGAATCCCCAAAGGGGATAAACCCGCTCCGCGTCACAATCGCGGCCGAGCCCAGCTCAGGATCCACAGGACCGGGCCAAATGGGCAGGTAAGACGAACGAACGACGGAGCAAAGCCAAAGACCTCTCCTAAAAAATGAGGGAGGCACCGGGGAATCCCCAAAAGGGATAAAACCGTTCTGCATCACAATCGCGGCCGAGCCCAGCTTAGGATCCACAGGACCGGGCCAAATGGGCAGGTAAGACGAACGGACGACGGAGCGAAGCCAAAGACCTCCCAAAAAAAATAAAATGAGAGAGGCATTGGGGAATCCCCAAAAGGAAAGAATAAGCAGAAAGACAAACGGACGACAAGTTTAAAGACGATCACGGCGAGCAAGTAATACACTTTATTCATCGGCTCTACCGGCCGGAAAGTACAACAAACACGAGTTCAGAGTGAAATCAAGAGTACAAAAAAACCGGAACCGTCACGCCTCGGGGAGCTATCCTTGAATATAGATGTGCCTGCAAGAGCTTTTTATGAACCCAGAGGCGTGAGGGCTGAAGTAAGCCATCTTAAAAACATTAGCCACTTCGGGAAGAACGGCCGGCTAACCAGGAGGTACGGCTGGCAAGCAGAATTTGACAAACTCACCCAGCCAGGGGGGCACCGTCCTTCACCTGGCACTTGTCCTTCAAAGCCTCCCCATAAGCTTCAACAAACGAAGCATTGAAGCCAGCGGACTCAGGATCAAACGGGGTGGGGAGATAACACTGGAGAGCTGGGAGGTTTCCGGCCAAAAGGCCGATCATCCCTTTAGCAAAGGCATCGTCGGCAAGCTCTGCAAGGAACTCTTGGCCAGCGGAGGTCCCCGATACCAACTCAATGCCATCCTTCAGCGCATCGGAGCTCTTAGCCAGGAACTCCCCGAAGCTTTGGGCAAGACGCTCCTTCACACGGACATTCACGGCATCAACATAGGCACGGGACTTCTGGAACTCAATAGCGCCGGCCTCCTTGATCTTGGAAACATCAGCCTCAAATACAGGAACGGCCCCATCCATACCAACCTGGCGAAGCTGCACGTCGGACTTCTCCACGGCGACCATTTTGGCACGAAGCAGCTGCAGCTCCTCGGTTTGTTTCCTCACTGTCTCCTGAAGAGACGTGCTTCCCTTAGCGAGCCCAAGGGCAGCGTTCAAATCGTGCTGCATCTTGTGCAGACGCTCTTTGGCCTTCTTCACCAAATCATCGGCTTCACAACGCACCTGGGCGGAAGCGCGCTCCTGAGCTTCATAGGCAAACCGCGCCTTGCAAAAATAAATGGCGGCCTTGTTGAGTGTGCTAAGGCCACACTCATGAAGATCCACCGCGCTGTCACGAGCAACAAGGTCACGAGGGAGTTTCAACCCCAAAGAACACCAAATGGAAGAGGCCGTCTGCCCAAACAACCTTTTCGACTCCGCACGGGGGCCCAAACCAGAGAACTCAATGATATCAGAAAACGAATCCTCTGAACCAGACAGAGGAGGATCGCTCGAACCTTTGCCCAACGAAGTGACGGGGGGCGGCTTAGGAAGAGAGGTGGCCTCAGTATCTGACCCATCAAGGACCACCACGGCCTTGGAGGATCCTTCCCCATGGCGAGACTTTTTGGGGGGCCGTTCATCCCCAGTGGGTTCGGCTTTGGGCCTTTTTTGGCCCTGATCCTCACCAACTATCTGCTTTCCCTTGCTAGCGTCAGCCCGACTAGAGGAGGGAGTAGCACGGGCTTGAGGGACCATGGCAGAAGACCTGGGATAAAGCCCTGCACAAAGGAGAAGAAAAATTATTAGAACAATGTTTGGGAGACACAAAAAAGAGAGTCCACAACCCGGGCCACAGCGAGGACGTACCTATGCTGGCCTTGCCCAAGTTGGTGTCTTTCACCAGCAAACGCAGGTTCTGGACCCCCGCACCGGCGATACGAGCGGCCTGTTCCAGCTCGACCGAATGGAGAACCGGAGGCTCAAACTTGACCGGGAAAGCATTCCACCGATCGGAGAAGGGGAGATGGGAATCAACCCTGACAAGGAAGAACCTCTCCTCCCAACTGTTCGGGTTGGAGGGGTTGTTGAAAAAGAGAACCCTCCACGAACGGGCCACTATGCTGAGATAACCCGTCTGGCCGTACGAGGAAAGCCGGAAGAAATGCAGAAACAACTTCATAGACGGCTCGACCCCCACGTTGTGGCACCGGATTATGAAACCGGCGAGAATCTGATGGGAATTCGGAACGAGTTGGGCCGGGGCGATACCAAGTCCCGTGAAAAGAGAGATATGGAAAGGCAGCAGCGGGAAAAGGAAACCCGCTGCCACAGAGTCCAGATGGACGACCACGTGGCCAGGTAGATGCCGCATAGGATGGCGGAGGAACCGTGCGTCCCAAACCCGTGGAGGGGGAAGCAATTGGGGAATCAGGTTTTTTTTCGCTAAGAAGCAGACGTTGGCGTTGACGCCGAACGAGATGGAAGTTAAGGGAGAAACGAGGAGGCTGGGGGGCATCCCACGCTTATAAACCGAAAGGCCATCCCCTGAGTTACAACCGTCATCGGATAAGTTTCCGGAACGCTGATGGGCTGACGGCCTAGGGACAACAGAAGACATAGCAGGTACGGAGGAGAAAATCAGGGACTTACAAGGAGTCTAGAGAGGAAATAATCTGGCAGAATAACAGAGTAATCCCACCATTTTGGCAATAGGGTATTTGTAGGCAAAAACCACCCCGACTCCCGAATGGAGGGGAGACACGTGGCGGGCATATTTGGTGCATCCTACGGCTGGGGGACGCTTCGAGATCCACGCCACCGGGGACAAGTACCGAAATCACCCCTCTCAACAAGTTCCAAAAAAAAAAAAGAGGGGGGAGAAGAGGGGTCGTTCCTCGTCAGAAGAAGAGGAAAGAGCCCAGGAACAAAAGGAGCATGGGCCGTTCCTCGTCAGAAGAAGAGGAAAGAGCCCATGAACAAAGGAGCAGGGGCCATTCCTCGTCAGAAGAAGAGGAAAGAGCCCATGATCAAGGAGCAGGTGTCGTTCCTCATCAGAAGAAGAGGAAAGAGCCAATGAACAAGGAGCAGGGGCCGTTCCTCGTCAGAAGAAGAGGAAAGAGCCCATGAACAAGGAGCAGGGGCCGTTCCTCGTCAGAAGAAGAGGAAAGAGCCCATGAACAAAGGAGCAGGGTCCGTTCCTCGTCAGAAGAAGAGGAAAGAGCCCATGAACAAGGAGCATGGGTCGTTCCTCGTTAGAAGAAGAGGAAAGAGCCCATGAACAAAGGAGCAGGGGCCGCACCTCGTCAGAAGAAGAGGAAAGAGCCCATGAACAAAAGAAGCAGGGGCCGTTCCTCGTCAGAAGAAGAGGAAAGAGCCCATGAGCAAAAAGGGACAAGAGCTGTCCCTCGTAAAAAAAAAAGAGAAGAAGGGAGGAGAAAGGAGGAAAGTACGAATGAGTAAACAGAACGCAAGCCATAAATGTAAAAAGAAGCTTTATTCTTCGGCTCTACCGGCCGGAATATACAACTAAGCAAAAGGAGGAACTAACGAAGTCATGTAAGGAAGCCATGGGGAGGGGAGCGTGGGGAGGCCGGCGGTTCTTCTGATGGCACTGAGGGAAGCTCTGGAGTGGGAAGATCAGGGATTTCACCCCCTCTGAACGACCGCTGCGCGCTGCTCATCTCGGCCGAGTTTTCCCATGACTCGCCGAAGCTCGACCCCATCAGTATAATCATCCACGTTGAACGGGGGACAGCCGACCAGAGGGAGCACACTTCTAAGGGCCTTAACACCTACGAAGTACCCTTTGGTGAAGGCATCGTCGGCAAGCTCTGCAAGCCACTCACCACCAAGTGCGGTCTTCCCCAAAAGCTGCACCCCATGAACCAAGCGCTCCTTATCCGTCACCGACTGCAGCTCGGCCTCGAAACCCTCCCAGCAGCTCCCCGGCAATACTCATAAGCGGCCTGAAGGAACTGGGTAGTTTTCTTGAACTCCTCCACATTGATGGCCAGGGTCAGAACGTCGCTGGGAGGATCTCCGCCTTCAGAACGGGGGGCAGGATCCGCGGCATGAACAAAAGAAATCCCATGCTTCTCAGCAAGGGCCACCTTGGCAAGCAGGCCTTGTTTCTCATGCTCGCCCTGAGCCCGAACGGCTAAGAGCTCCTGTTGAGCCTGGGCCAGGGCAGCCTGCGCCTTGTTCACCTCCGCCTGAGCAGCCTCCCGCAGCAGCAAGGCCTCCTGCTCTCTCTTGGAAGCCGCATCGGCCTTCCTCTTGAGCTCGGCGAGATCTTTCTCCCGAGCAGCCCTGGCCTGCAGCAAGCTTAGCCCAACCTACAAGGAAGGAAAGTGGGTTAGGTGGAAACGAGGAACGGGTTCAGAAGATAACAAAGGGAAATGTGGAGAACATACCTCAAGGCTCAGAAGCAGAGCATTATCAACAGAGTCGCCCGAGGAACGACCTGATAATTCCAGCCCGGTCTGAAGGGCCATGTCCTTCTAGACTTCAGAGATGGGACGAACGGCGGAGGGCACCACGACGTCCGTGGACTTAGGAGCAGAGGACTTAAGGCGCGGCCTCTTCGTCTTCTTCCCCTTGTCCTTCTCCCCCCCAGCAGGGATACCAACGCCGACCGGGTTCACATTCAGAACCCGGTTATCTTGAGAAGGATGGGCCTCAGAGGTTTGCCCAGTCACCTCAGCGACCAGAAGCCGCTCTGCATCAGCAACGCGCTGACTAGCCTGGGATGCGGCAGAAGAGGTGGCCCCAGAAGATTGAGCGGCTGCACGAGCCTTAGCCAGCGCCTTCCGTTCCTTGGCGGCCTTTGCCTCACGACGAGCTGCCATAGCTGCACTGTCCATTTGCTCTTGAGTAGGGGGAGGACGTGAAAACAGAAAAGTGACGTTAGTACCGGGCGGTGCGAATCACAAAGGCACTCACCTCAGGGAATAGACCGCCCGGGTCCACAAGATGAAGACAAGAGAAGGCCAGTCCAGGGATCACGGGCGGTACCTATCCCTGCGTCTGAGAGTGCCTCAATGGTCAGAAGGCCCTTCAATTTCCTAATTCCGCCCAACCTCAGCTTATCCACGGCTTCCCGTAACGCCGGGGTTAGCTCCGGTGTCTGAACCTTCGGAGGGTACCCATTCCACCTCACAGGAAGCCGCTCATCCGCATAACGAATAAAGAAATAGCGGTTTTTCCAAACGTGGATAGAGGAGGGAGCCCCCTCGAACAGCTTTCTCTTGGGACAAGCGGCCACGCTCAGGAACCCATCAGCGTTTTGAGGAGTAACTTGGAAAAAATAATGAAAAAGATCCAGTGAAAAGGTGAGCCCCAGCGATTTGCAGAGAACGAGGAAGGCAGAAATCAAGCGGTAGGAGTTCGGCATAAATTGAGCCGGGACAACACTGTAAAACTCGAAGAAGTCAAGGTAAAACGGGTGTAGCGGGAAACGCAGTCCGGCCTTTATAGAATCCATATGCACCATCACCATTCCCGGGCGCCTCATAAGGAGTTTATCTGCGCCTCGGAGGCTATAATAAGCAGGTGGGGGGAGGACAATTTGCAGTTCCCTCAGGGCCCTCTTGGAGAAGACATGTTTGATCACGGCTACGTTCGGAATAAGCACTATGTGCCTATGCTGGTCCATAGGGATGCTAAGCTTGTAGATCCGGAGGTCGTCCCCTTCTTCAGCCTCCTTACCCGAGTCATGATCGGCAGGATGCCCCGCCGCCACGGCAGATTGTGCCACCATCGCAACGGCGTTCTCGGGGACGACGGTCATATCAACGTGTTCTCCTGTGACCGGGATTGCGGCATCAGCCACTGCGTCGGGGACTGTCATCGAAGAAGCGCTGGAACGGCCAGAACCGCTCGCTTCTGCCGAGGAACGAGATCTGAGTTCTGATGCCGAAGATGAACCGGCTGAAGAATCGGAAGAAGAACCAGAGCCAGTTTCCGAAGAGGAAGAAATTTCCATGGAGCAGGCCATGAAGAGATTTACGAAAGGAAAGGAAGAAGTTGGGACCGGGAAATTACCTTGCTAAAAGCTTGGGGGAGAAAAGAACACCGGAACTCGAAATAACTCGCTGAACGGCGCTGGGAAGGCAAGAGGAGACAACGGATGAAAAGCCCTAACCCTTCCCATATTTCCGGTATTTATGAGGGGAGGCGCCGGTTCAGCGACCAACCCGCGGGCGACACGTGGCAAGGAGCGTATACAGGGACGCGTGTCGCGTGGAGACGGGCTGATACGAAATGATTACTTTTTCATGGGAAGTTGAACCGGCCAGATAGCTGGCACCTAGAGCCCCGTGAATAACGGCGGGAAGCAACCGTCACCTAGAGGAAAAGGGAGCAACGGCTCGAGGCGGTACGGCGAAAGTTATCTTACTTCTTTATGTACCGCGCACGCTCGGAACATCAGAAGTGGGGGACTTGTGTTGGGTTAATGGTCTACCAGGGCCGGCCCATCAACCCCTAGAGCCCAAGAACCAGGGAACGTACGTGGCCCGGTATAGCCAAGCCTCAGGGCCCAACGGCCAGGGGACGTACGTAGCCCAGCATAGCCAGGCCTCAAGATCCAAGTTCCAGGGGACGTACGTAGCCCAGCATGGCTAGGCCTCAGGCTCCAAGGGCCAGAGGACGTACGTAGCCCAGCATAGCCAGGCCTCAAGATCCAAGTTCCAGGGGACGTACGTAGCCCAGCATAGCCAGGCCTCAAGGCCCAGGGGACGTACGTAGCCCAGCATAAGCCAGGCCTCAAGGCCCAAGGGCTAGCGGGCGGACGTAGCCTCCGGAGGACCGAGCCTCAGGACCCAAGGGCCAGGGGACGAGCATCTTGTGGACTAAAGGGCCCAGGTGGCCACCAGAGGGATGAGTCCAGTTTAGGGGACGGGCGTCCCCCACACTATGGCGGGAAACCAAGATCTTGGCGGGAAGCGCATTTAATGCGAGAGATTTGGTAGTTGGGATCATGTCGCCCACAGCCGGCCACGTCAGCCCCCCAACCACCATGGGATACTATAAATAGTCGCATTTGTTTCATTGTAAAGGGTTCGCACTTCGTGACTAGAATTGTAATAGCATCAACAGCACGTAGCATAGTTCAGTACGTTCGGCCCTTTGGCTTGTAATCGTTAAAGTGAATAAAATACAGTATTAACCCACTCCCCGTTGTTTAGCGAGTTCGTTTTGCCTTCCACCCATTCGAGACCCCCAGGTTACGTGTTGGGCCTACGGGTTGAGGGGAATAAACCTCAACACATCTAAAACAATAACACAAGCTATTTTTCAATTCTTCCACAAATGTTCAACAAATTCAAGTAACAACTTAGAACATAATAATAAGCTAAAATAAAACAATCCTTGCACAAGTCTAGAGTAATAACACATTGTATAAAGTTACAAGTCTCATCATCACTCAAAAACTTAAACAAGCACGTTCATCATGTGTCGTTGATGGATTGCGTCATTTCTAAATAATATGATGCCCAACAAGTTCATACTTTATCAATCTCTTCTTATGAGAATGGTTTTGGATTGGCGAATCGCTACAAATTAAATAAAAAGGTTATTAAAAAAACATTACATGGAGCAAACCTATTGAATGTAAATAAAATAATAATGTACCTCATCTCACATTTCAAGAATTACCGCCAAAACAATATTATGTCAATAAAATACAAACTACAAAGTGATGCAAGAGTTAGAGTGTTAGAAAAGTACCCCATTAAAATATTATATAAACCCACTTATGACATATGGTTTCAAATCTTGCTTCTATTCTGCCAGTTAACACAAGACTTTTATGTACACTGTTATGCAATACTATGCTCACTAGAAAATACAAGTGAAAAAAACAAGTGTTAAACCTGGTCAAATACAACATTATCACTCTCCCTCTGCGTTCAAACGAGTACTCACATATAAAGCTCCAATACTACTCGATTAACTTTGGATGGAACTGGTAGAGGTAGAACCAGAACAAATTTTGAGGAGTGGCTAAAATTAAAAACACTTTAAATGCAATAAAACACTTGAATTGAATTTTACTAGCTTGTTCTTACCTATTACTTTCTTCGTTTGACCATTTCAATGACCCACCACTCCGAATTATGATTTGATATATAGGCATACATAACCCTACTCAGATAAGACTTTTTCAATGGAGGCTCTTAAAAGGTATTCTGCCTATTTCTGATAATATGGCTAGGTTCAAAATGGTTCTCAATCCCTCTATATGCCCTCTATGTAGGGCTCATAGTGATTCTGTTGATCATGTCTTTTATAGCTGTGATAAGGTTAAGTCAGTGTGGGATTATTTCATGGGAATCCTTGGAATTCCAACACTTCACCAAACTATTTCAATCAGGCAAATATTCATATCTTGGTGGTTAAAGGCGGGCTCTAAAAAGCTTGAGGGTATCTTTAAACATTGTTTGCCTGGTATCATCTGCTGGCAGATTTGGAAATCCTACTTTGCCTTGGTTTGGGGTTCAGAAGATACATGCCCTACCTCGGTCTTCTTAATTAGCCAGATTAAAGTTTTTACCCAAAATTGGGTGAGGGGTTTTTCATCTATCAAACAGACAAAGGTAGGGGAAGTTCTATACGAAGAAGGTCTGATTCCTTTGTCTTTTAGACTGCCCAGACCTACGATTCAAGCTACTCTATGAAAGAAACCAAAGAAATCTTACAAGCTAAATGTTGATGCGAGCTTTTCACCTCCTCGAGTAGCAGGAGGAGCCATTTTAAGGGACAGTAATGGGAAGATGGTTATGGCCACTACATTCCCGATTTCCGCTTCCTCCTCCTTTGAAGCTGAACTCCTTTCATTGATATACGCTACATCTTGGGTAATTGGAGATGGTTTCAGTGATTTTCAGGTAGAGACGGACTCCATGGAGGTTCTGACTTGTATCAATCGCAAAAGTAATGGAAGATGGAGTGGAGAGCTTATGCGTTTGTTGGATTTGTCTGAACGGAGAGGAGTTTCCTTTTCCGTGGTTTTGAGAGAGTCCAATTGGACTGCATATTTTTTGGCATCACATTTTATGGGCCAGCCCATCACTTTCTGGCAGGTTGCTGATCTTCTGCTCCAAGCCCGGAACGCCTTCTACATGGATATGTTCGAGATCCCCTATTTGAGAATTGCCAATTAATTGGCTTGTCTTGCTTTTTGTTTCTGGATGTTTTATTTTTTGAGAACACATGTCTTTTCTGAAGTGGTTTTGGTCTAGTCCCCTGCTTCATTTGTATTACCTCTGATGGAGTATATGGACTCCGACCCTCCGGTCTGCCGACTATTGGGCTTCGACAGCGGCCCATGCACGTTTAGCGGATTCATATTATTGTACATTATTATTCAGATGTACTAGATTAGTTTTTTATACAATTAGTCCATTTATGTAACCGGATCTGTTGGGCCTATATTAAAGGCCCAGACTCGGATTTCCCTATATATACTCCTTATAGGAGGCTTGTAAACCTAAGTCACAACTTTCAAACTCATTCACAATACACTATCTCTTTCTCCTTCTTGTTCAATCTCTCCTAATTTATACAATATGGGTATCAATTATCCAACAATGGTGCTCTCGTTGAGAGGTTTGAATACAATCAAGTGAGAAAACCTCCCCAAAAAACCAAAAATTCACCCGGATCATAAAGAATCAACAAAAAAGTGCTCTCGAAAATTCAAAAAGGAAGAAATCTAGAATTTTTTTCCAGATCTGAGGTTTTCCGGCCAGATGTGAACTGACCGGTCGCTCGGAGCAGCTCACAGTCAGCGGGAGTTCCAGATCCGACCCCAACTGGTGAACAAGAGGTTGTCCCTCCCCTGGTTGTCCGCTCCTTGACCCAGCCGACGCGCTATGCCTGAGGAATCTGCCAGATGAAGCTACCGGTTATAGCAGCTTGCTCCTCCACCTTAGCTTGCAGTTGGCTAGACGACCTCGCCACCTAGCGAAACGCAGCACCCCCGTTCCTCCACCTCAATCGCAGCGCCGCCCAACTCCTGGCCGCTCGGTTGTGGCTTTGGTCTCCAATGCAGCTCAAAGGTTGGAGTCAGATCCACGACTGTCATCTTCACGGTTGTTTGACTCAGTTGTCGGATTTGGATCTCAAGTACCGCCATTAATGGCCGCCAGGAGCTCCAAAAGTAACAAACGGGATCTGGGAATGAAAAGCAGAAGCTCTTCGCCAGAAAGGGCATCGCCCTGGTCGCCACCACAAGCTACACCAGAAGCCACGCGCTACAACAGAAGCTTGCTGCCCCGCTCACAGCCCATTCCCAGGTCTGAACCGAAGCTACTGTGAGCCACCCTTTGCAGTTCGCTGCACCAAGAACGATGTCCTCTGTCCAACCCCGCCAGTGTCGTGCCTCAGGAACGTACCGCTCTCCGACTGAGAAAGCTTCGCCTGGTACAGCCTGGGAGGGCTTCTCCGTTACCATCCCAGTTGCTGTTGGACTGTTCTCCTGGCTAAGTAGCCGTGAGCTCCTCTTGGTCGCACACTTGCAGAACAAGGTTGTACAGGTGTGGAGGCGGGTTAAATTTCACACCTTGCAGAATAGAAACCCTTTGACACCAACTGTGGACTGGACCGCATTTTTCTAGGATCAAACTTTTCAACGGGCCTCAATTTCAGCAACATATTTCAGCCCACTTCAAAAAGATAAGTATCTTTAATTTTAATATTATTTATATTTATTTTAATCAATATTTTTGTCGAATGAATGTCACACTATCACGCACTTATGATCAAATGCCTAGTAGAGTGTGGCTTGAGACCCATCACTAGGATTTAAAGCCCTGACTCTCAGGCACAAAGCCCTGACTCCTCAGGCACAAAGTCTTGACTCTCAGGCACGAAGACCGGTCTTAGTCATTCCAAGAGTGGCGACCGTTGCGTACGAATGGCTCACACCTCCACTCTACTAAGTATTTTATCATTACATCAACAATTGACATTTTCACTTTTTTCAAGTGACGAACTCCCGATCGGAAACATAAACCCCAAGAAAAAATTTATATGCATATTACATGTGTAGGTACGAAGATGACTTTACTCATTTTTTTCACCTCGTCTCCACTCGCCTCAAGGAGTGGGGGACTGGGGGACTGAGGGGTCAGATTTTCTGGATGAGCAACAAATATCACGTATGAGGAGGAACGAGAGCTAAGTCAGATGAAGACGGGTTGAGCTAGACGAAAGTGATTATGCCGGAGGGGGCCTACCTTCCTTGTTTCATGTTGGGGGCGTTAGGTGTACTCTTTTTCCCTTTATTAGGATTTTTCCCACTGGGTTTTTTCCTAGTAAAGGTTTTTAACGAGGCACCTCTCCATCATGGACAAGGGTGGTGGTCCCTGACCGGAGAGGAAGGAATCAAAGACAAAAGAGCGTGGCAGATACAGTTTGGACTACTCCCTTTCGTCTTGAGTACTCTCGACTCAGGGAGTGGGGGACTCCTGATGGAGTATATGGACCCAGACCCCCCGGTCTGCCGACTATTGGTCCTGGACAGCGGCCCAAGCACGTTTAGCGGATTCATGTTATTGTACATTATTATTCAGATGTACTAGATTAGCTTTTTATACTATAAGTCCATTTATGTAACCGGATCTGTTAGGCCTATATTAGAGGCCTAGACTCGGATTTCCCTATATATACTCCTTATAGGAGGCTTGTAAACCTAAGTCACAACTTTCAAACTCATTCACAATACACTATCTCTTTCTCCTTCTTGTTCAATCTCTCCTAATTTATACAATATGGGTATCAATTATCCAACAACCTCTTTTTTAATAAAATCTGGTAAATGTTCTCCGGCATTTGCCCCACTGATTTTGGTGGTTTACCTTCCAGGTTAAAAAAACCTAAAAATATAAAATCATATCACAATTACAATTGAAAAAATACATAGTCATTAAGTACAAATTTAACATGTCAATTTAGTCATCACTTATTTACTCATTAATCAATCATATTAAAAGATTCAACTTTTCTATAAACAAGTACTTTAAGTTAAACAATAAAACAAATAAAGAATGAAGTTAAAAAAGATGGCAGGCTACTCCACTTCAGGTCAAGAAAATAAAAGGAATTTACAAAACACTACATAACTAAACAAGTAAACTTCTTGCTGCCTGTTTGCGGAAATCTAGAAAATTAAAAGAATAAGCTTACCAGTCAGAGGCGAGCAACTTAGCAGATGGCAGAAGCAAGAAGCTGAAAAACACAGAGTTTATTCAGCCGCATACTTTGTCGCCCTTGCTGTCAATTCAATTCAGTACAGTCGCCAACTCGCATCACGTCTCACATCCTTCACTACTCGTTCACCTCCGGTGAACCTTGCTTGCAGCTCACTTCCCATCACAGTTTCCAGCCCGCCAAATCGCAACTCGCATTGGAAATCTCAAATGCATCTGGTGGCACCAAATAATAATTTAAATTAGCCCAAATGAGTGAAATTATATTAGCTACGCACCTCTTAAATGTCATTTTTTCATTTTAAAAAAACGGCGTTGGAAAGAAAGATTATTAAACCCATACTAAATATTTTCAATAAACCGATTGACTCGAAAGATTGCAATAAACTGATTCACTCGAAGCTTTCAATAAACCGATTCACTCGAAAGATTTGAAACTACGGTACAATATAAGAAACTAATAAAGTTCCTCAAATTAGTTGCACTCACAATACAATAACTAATGGGATCTGTATTCCATGTGTTTGGGTGTGGGTAGGTGGTGTTCACATCTATTTCATATGCCCAGATACCACAATGGTGAACAGATCTTTAATTTAATAAACATATGGCAATATTCTCCAAGGGACAAGCTTACAATATTCTTTCCAAACATCTTTATACATCTCTCCCTCCATATTAGCAAGATAAGAAGATATATAGGATAAAAGTACGGAACTGCAGAGCTAATTCCACAAGGCAAACTGAAGGACAGTGCAAGTAATAAATCCCCATTTCCCCAATAGCCAGAAGCCAGCAATCCCCCCCCCCCCCCCCCCACAACAACTTTTGGAGGTCTTCCCCATATTAGAGCTTTTGGGTTCTTTTAAAGAGATGTTTCTGCTTGTTTGATCCTCTAAACACAAGATACCCAATCAAAAAAGAAAGACAAGATGTTTCTGCTTGTTTCGCAAAAAAACAGCATGAACCCCAGCCTCTCTGCAAATATATCCCATGTGGAGGTCATAAATTCTTCATAGAAAAAGTAGTCAACAATATACAATCCACTAAATATCTGGTAAAGAACCATCGATTGGATTAAATCGCCTTCCTGAATACATTTTGCAAGAATTGAAAGATTGATAACTAACCAACCCATCATTCCAGCTCTAACAAAGAAAATTTTCATATCAATGCACATAAATTGAGGATTCAATTGTATCTCAAATGTATTAGTCTGGCAAACTGAATTTGTTCTGACTTAATTTAGGGATCGATTATAACCACAGGATAGCATCATTCATATACTACCTCCTTCCCACTATGTTTGGGACAAAGGGGTGTGACACAACTTTTAAGAAAAAGTGAAATTATGTGGTTAGTATTGAATTGATAAAGTGTAAATAAAGTAAGAATGAATTGTAACTACCCAAATATTACCATATATGCTATGGAACAAACATAGTGGGATGGACGAAAAAGGTAAAACGGGACAAAGTTAGGGGGACGGAGGGAGTATAACCAATCTGGAATTAGAAACGAATATCTTTTTAGTGTACCTTTTCTACATCGGTGTTAACAGATGCAAAATATACTCTCATTAATTATAAAATTTACCCCGTTTTTCTATTAACATCGGTTGCACTAAAACCCGATGTAGAATATTTTACAAAATTAAAAAATATACCCCGTTTCCCTATTTAACGTCGGTTAAATACACAAGTGATGTGAAAATTTTTACAAAAAATATAAAAAAGACCTCGTGTCAACATTCTACACGGGTTTTAAGCTAACACATGTAGATAAGGTGATGTAAAAGGCCTTTTTTGCACTAGTGGGATCTTCTTCTTCCTCTTCTTCCTCTTCCTCTCCCTCTTCCTCTTCTTCCTCTTCCTCCTCCTCCTCTTCCTCCTCCTCGTCTTCTTCTTCTCACTAGTACAGAAAAGGCTTTTCACATTGGTCAAAAAAGACTTTTCACATTGGTCAAACAGCCGATGTGGTTCCAGTCCATGTGAAAAGTATTGACTTTTCACATCAGTCAATGAACCAATGTGGAACGTCTTTCTACATCGATCGTTCAGTGCCCGATCGAGAAGATAGTCCAAAACGGCGTTTTAAATGATATTTCACATCAGTTATAACCCATGTAGAAAAGCAATCACATCGGTTATTTTACAACTGATGTATAAAAGCTTCAATTTTTCCCGGAACATAGGTTTTTCACATCGGTTATTTTACAGTACTGTCGTTCTTGGATTCTCTACCATTTGTACATATGAGTTTTGAGAACAGTACCGCCATCCCTGGGTCTCCACAATTTATATACCGATGTTTGAGGATAGTACTGTCGT